AAGTCTGGGTCTAAAACCGAAACTAAAGTAAGCTAAAGCCTAAAGTGGGAGGGACTCTCTTTCCTACCCTCGTCGCACCTCTCAGGACCTCCCTCCCGCCCCTGTTCGTCGCCCCCTCTCCCTCCGCCGCTCATCGCCTCCTCCCCTCTTCCCGTTTGTCTTGGAGTCCGCCTTGGATTTACCTATACACGCCATCCTCTATCATCCCATAAATGTCCGTCTGTCGACGCTGTTACTCGGATGCGCTAAGGCCTTCAGTACTACTATTTTAGCGGTTTATTATGCGTTTTGTGCTGTTTAACAGCACTACAAAACGCATATTGCCAAGGGGTTGTCTGTGTGTGTGTCCGCAGCAACTTGTCCGCAACTTTCAACTCGGTAACCACAAAAGCTAGGAAGCTGAAAATTTAGGGGAACGTTCCCCACCCACGTGTGACCCCGCAAATCGGGAACCCAAAAGCTAGGAAGCTGAAAATTTAGGGTAACGTTCCCCACACCACGTGTGACCCCGCAAATTTAAATTCAGCTTCCCCGTACCCGCGGGTAACGCGTACGGCCCTGCACGTGTGACCCCGCAAATTTCACAAAGCTAGGAAGCTGAAAATTTAGGGTAACGTTCCCCACCCACGTGTGACTCCGCAAATTTAAATTAAGAGCTAGGAAGCTGAAAATTTAGGGGAACGTCCCCCACCCACGTGTGACCCCGCAAATTTAAATTCACCTTCCCCGTACTCGCGGGTAACATGTACGGCCCCGTGGAAGTTTTTGCGGGTAAATTAATATTTCGGGAATCACAAAGTCTTGGCGGCTGGAATTTTAGGGTAATGACCCCCTGCCTACGCTCAACCTTGCCCATTCAAATTCAGCGTTCCTGCGCTCTTGGGTGCCACCTACGGGCTAGTGAAAATTTTGGCGGATAAACTATTAACTCGGGAATCACGGGGAGATGCTCATCCTTCAAGGTTTCGAATTCAGCTTTCATGCGCTGGTGCGTGAAATTTTTAACTGTTTCCTAATGTTTGA